CCCCGCGCCGCGCACGCGCGCGCCGCCCCCGCGAAGGGCACGGGCCGCAGCGGCTTCAGGAAGAACACGCGGCCTGCGGGGTGGCGTCGGGATCAGGGTCAGGACGTGGCCCCTGCCCCCCCACGGCCCAGGACTCTCCGTGTCAGGGTCCAGGAGCGCTCCCACCCCGGGCTCCAGGAGCCGGGTCGGGAGAGAGCAGAGCCGGTCCGTGGCCCTGAGGTCCCGGACAGCTGAGGCGGGGAGGGGGCGTGGCCTCCTTCCTGTGGGCGGGGCTGAGTATCGGGGAGGCGGACTTTCCTCCCATAGGTGGACCTTCCGCCAGGGGGTGGGGTTTGCATTTGGGCATGCTCACTGGGAAGGGTGAGCTACTCTCCCGGAAACCGTCCCAATAGGAGGCGGGGTCTGTGCGTTCAGAGGCGGAGCCTCCTTCCCCTGAGGGCGGGACCTACGCCGTTGGGGGCGGGGCCAACCTACCCGGGAGGTTGGAGGTGAAGCAGAAGGCGTCGTAGCGCTCCTCCGCGTTGTGGCGGTATCCGTAGTTGCGAACGCCTCCGTTAGCGCCGCCTGCGGCTCCGGGGCTGCCCCCGCCCAGGCCTCCGCAGGGCTCTCGCGGCCGGCTCACCGGGTACTGCACCGAGCCGTCACGCAGCCAGCCCGCGTTGCACCAGTCCAGGCCGTCGCGCCAGGCCGCGTGCAGCTGCTCCGCCGACGCCAGGATGCCGTCCTGCTCGGCGCACGCGCGCTGCGCCTCGGCGAAGGTCAGCTTGTAGCGGCCTCCCCGGGGGTGGTAGGGGAAGACCACGCCTGGCGGGGGATGCGCGGCGTCTGACCTCCGTCCAGACTGGACGCTCGGTCCATCCCTCCCCCGGCCTCGCCCCGGCCGTGCGTCTCACACCCCGTGAGGCGTCTTTGGCCTTCAGCTCGACACCTCTGCACATGTTCTTTCTGCTCTTTCCCACCTGCCGAACTCCTGCTCGTCCTCCAGAACCCAACCCCTCTGCTCCGCTCAGCCCTGCTTGTCCCTGACACCGCACGTGCAGTAACAGTCCCTCCCGCTGGACTGTCTGTGCCCAGAACAGGACTCCCCCACCCACCCCGGACGGCCTCGGAAGGTTCCGGAAAGTTGGCCGCAGGGCACAGACGCCTTGTTCCAGGCGGTGCCCGCTGGTTTCTCCGTCCACCTTTAGTGCTCAGGGCGGAAGTCGTCCCTTCCTGGACTCGGTCCGTCCAGGAGCCGAGAGGTCATTGCGTTTTAAGGAGCAGGGAGGGTTTGGATGTTCTCCGCAGGCCCGGGAAGGAGGCACGCGGGGCCAGCGAGTCCCTGGCTCTGCCCGAGCCCCCGGGCCATCGGCTGGCCCAGCCGTCCTCCCTGAGGCTGGGCTGGGGAGAGCGCCTCGTCCGGGAGGGCTGGGGCCGTCCCCGATACAGAGGGAATCCTTCGCTGCAAGCCCCGCCCCATCCTCGCGCCCAGCCAATCAGCGAAGCCCATCACTCAGCCACTGTGATTGGCTCACTCGCGGGCACGTGATTGGAGCTGGCCCAATGATAGACAGCCCTGGGACCCTCGCTGGTAGACGGGGCGGGCTTCTGAGAAATGCGTTTGCGAGCCAGAGCGGAAGGCTTGGCCAGTGCCAGGCTCAGCGGGGCGGGGTGAGGTCTGCCGTAGCCCCGCCGGGAAGCGGAGGTGGAGTCCGCCTTCCCGGCATGGTCCACGCGTCGGGACCGCGCCGCCCCCGAACCCCTGCCCTACTGACACTTTTACAACACTTCTTCAGCCAACTCGATCCGTCCCCCCCCCGGCCCCCGCTTCCTCCCTGCCAAGTGAACCCCACGCCTGGTCACCTTCCAGGTCCAGCTTGACCATGCCCGCGTCATCCTCCAGCTCGTTGGTGACCTCGCACTCGTAGCGCCCGTAGTCCTGCAGGGTGACATTGCGCAGGACCAGGGACGCGTCGCCGGGCCCGTCGTTCTGCAGCTCCGCGCGCCCGCGGTAGCTGCCGAATGCCCGGTGCTGCGGGCCCAGCGCCACGAAGACGTCGGCGAAGGCCAGCGGGTCCACCACCTTGGTCCACTTGAGGCGCACGCCGTCCTGGTCGTCCGCGGCGGCCTCGTAGTGGTAGCGACAGGGCAGGACGATGGTGCCACCCCGGTGGCTCACCACCTCTCCGGGCGCTGTCTGCACCACCACCGAGCCCGACTCGCCCTCTGCGGGGCGAACCAAGCCGAGCTCAGAGGGGCCCGGAGGGCGGGCGAGTCCCGGGGAGGGGCGCGGGAGGACTCGGGCGAGGTCAGGGTCAGGGGGTCAGGGGGCAGGGGCAGGGGCAGGAGGCGGCGGCCACCGGAGGGCAGGGCGGTCACTGCGCCGCCTCTCCAGGGCGCGACGCCACGCGCAGGCCACTCACCGAGCACGTGCACCACCTTCTTCCGGCCTCGCTGTGCCCACGCTGGGGCCGTGAGCAAAAGGAGGCCCCACGCCGTGGTCCAGAGCGCGCTGGGGCCCGGCGTGCCGCGAGCGCACACCTGCGGGCACAGGGCACTGCGTGTTCCAGGGGAGACCCACCCCTGGCCGGCCCGCCCACCGACCTGTCCCCGCCCCTTCCGAACGGAGTGCGGGGAGGAGATGCTCTGAGCAGGACCGCTAGATGCCACGCCCTCAGGGCGAAGCCCCGCCTCTGGGAGATTATGCCCCACTCAGGTGGAAGCCCCGCCCCTGGATGCCACGCCCTCAGGGCGAAGCCCCGCCTCTGGGAGATTATGCCCCACTCAGGTAGAAGCCCCGCCCCTGGATGCCACGCCCTCAGGGCGAAGCCCCGCCTCTGGGAGATTAAGCACCACACAGGTAGAAGCTCCTGGAGACCACGCCCCCAGAGAAGCTCCGCCCCAGAGGCCACGCCCCAGTCAAAGATCAAAGCTTCCCCCCCAGCTCTGCCCCCGTTTGCACTTTAAGTCCCACCTGGGGACCAGAGCCCCGTCCCCGTCCGC